CTTTGCCTTCCAGTCTTGGGAACTGAAACTGTCTAAAAAGCACGGCACGCACTGGTCATGGTCAAGTCCCTGCCTCCTCGTTAACATGGAGTCTTATTGGCAGTACACTGAAAAAGATACAAGGATGATGTACCTCACCCCCTCACCCCCATAACTGTAAGTTACATTTGGTGTACTTTGGTACAAAACGTTTTTTGACAGTGTCGCCTCCGCAGGTACATCGACAACCCGCTCCTCATCGGCGGTAAGAAGTTCGACTTGCGTCTTTACGTGCTCATCACGTCTTTCCGCCCCCTCAAGGCCTACCTGTTCCGCATGGGCTTCTGCCGCTTCTGCACAGTCAAGTACGACGCCAGCATCCAGGAGCTGGACAATATGTACGTGCACTTGACCAACGTCAGCGTGCAGAAGCACGGGGTAAGCAACGTACGGCAATTGCGTGAACACGTTCAGTGCGGCTCGTTGGTGGTGCCTATGGGGGCGTGGCCACACAGTGGTCACGCCGCACTAAACGTGTTGACGCGCAAGGTGCGATGGGAAACCCCATGGGATTTCGGCGTTCTCCTACCGTACATTCACACGCATGCTCGCTCAGCCACAAAGGCGACATAAAACCCACCCGCACATGCCTGCGAGGCTCCTGACACTACTGTCTAAGTTTGTAAGAGCGTAAACCATACTTTCCTGATAGCAAGACATAAATCTCACCTTTTGATACCGAAGGAAAAACATTGCTCAAGAATGCGAGTGGGGCGTTGAATACTTGTGAAAATTTAGAGACGAGGTGTACTACTCGATGTACTCCAGGTGTATCCCACGTAAAGGACTCCCGAGGACTCCTGTGCCCCCTCCCCCCCAACAAAAATCGAGTCGTCGTCGGCCCCTCGCCAAGAGGTTTATCATCGATGCCCCAGACCGCAGCATCGAGCATCTATCCGCGCTCGGTATAAACGAGCTGAACAAGGCTCCACGGACGAATGGCGATTAGACGGAAATAGAAATTTAGAGAGCACGTGTCGGTATTTGGGCCCCTACAGGGCGAGTACAACAGCATGCACGGCGGCAAACTGTCGGTGCAGAACCTGCGCCTGTACCTGGAGAGCACTCGCGGCAAGGCCGTGACCGAGCGGCTCTTCTCCAGTATCTCGTGGCTCATCGTGCACTCGCTCAAGGCCGTCGCACCGGTCATGGCCAACGATAGGCACTGCTTCGAGTGCTACGGCTACGACATCATCATCGACAACAAGCTCAAGCCCTGGCTCATCGAGGCAAGCGTTTCAAAGACAACAATCACTTCGTGCGTGTAAGAGACGCTCGAGCATCACTCGTCTTTACCTCGACGGTTACAGGTGAACGCGAGCCCTTCCTTGACGTCAACCACCGTCAACGACCGCATACTTAAGTACAAGCTTATCGACAACATCCTCTCGGTGGTGCTCCCGCCGGACGGAGTCCCGGAGTAAGTGCCACAGTCAGGAAAAGAGAAGGGGGGTATGCGGTATACCCACTCTCTCGAGGGTTGCGTCCTGTTTACCCAGCCAGCAATCATCGATCAAAATTATATAAATTTAATGTGAGACTGTTGAAAGTCCTTCAAAACTTGAATATTGTATGTACAGGGTGGTCGCTGTCCCCCGTCGGAGCAAATGTGTATGCTAGCCCACACGGAGACGTGCGAACAGGTACGGGGCCCAAGGATGGCTACAGACGCTACGCAAACCCGTCTACATCTACATCTGCATCAGCGCACGCGGGCTAGTGCGCATTTGCTTCCGACGGGGAACAACGACCACCCCGTTTCAAGTTATGTCTCTTAGCATTGACGTAATTCAATTGAGAATTGGTTAAGGAGGTGGTTTTAGAGGTGGACGTCTGCGACTCGCAATCGTGAAGGGCCTCTCGCAACCCCTACTGACGCCGTCTGCTTGTTCTCAGCACGCGTTGGAACAAAGTGCCGTCTCCAGAGGCGCTCGGAAACTTTGAACTGCTTCTTGACGAAGACTTGGCGGCCCAGGACGACCAGCCCCGGAGGAGCGACAACCGAGCGCATTCGAGCAGATGGAAGTGAAGATCTTGTATTTAATGACAAGCATATAAATGGAAAAATACACTTTATTTCTAAACAGGACATGATGGTTGGTTTGGGTGCATATTATTCTTCACATTAATCATGACAACGGAAATCAGTCAGAAAAAGACCAAAATAAACCAAGGGACCAACAAAAGAAATAAAAACCTAACTACAAAAAGATACAGTACAGTAGTCTTGAATGAGTCTGGAAGTGATCACATTAAACAATGCTATGGTACACATAACTTATAATTAATATGGAGCAAATATTAAGCAGGACATTACTGTACTAACATGAAAAGTAAAAATCGTATTATGCAGAACACTTAAAAAAAATCAACAACAACAATCAGCATAGATTATTTGTACAGAAGGCAGTATGGTCATGACTATGCACAATATGATATTCGACAGCTCAGCTGACTAGCCAGAAAATACAAGTGAAAATCATCTAGTAAGCTGAGGTCGTACCACATTTTGTTTCCGACTGGTCCAACTTGAAAACAAATTAAAATAGATTTTAAAACATTTTAAGAAAAAAAGGAAACAGCAAAGGTACAGAGAAAAAGAGTATAAGGAATCTTTCATACAAATAACCAATGCATCCACTTGACAGCACAACAGCCCATGCTGCAATTATAACATATCTTAGATTGATACAAAAATGCTCCAACATTCTACTGGAATTCACTTTGGTAAAGTCATGTTTTGGTTAGAAAAAAAATACAGTAACATCTTATCAAAGCACTCACTCAGGTAGACAACCATCATGGCCTTACCTCATACTTATTGTGACCATGGATTTCGCAATACAGACAATCAAGGGTGGCAAACATATGATGTCACTGTATAGTTCTCACCAGCCCCTGAGGAATGGGATATACCTATGCTTTAAGAAGGAGAATGTCAAAGCTACTGAGTTCAAAAAGAAGTTTCCTTTTTTTTTATTATTTTGGAGTGATAAAAGTGTGCAGTTCAGTAACAAGGAAACCTACAAAACTCCTTTTAGGAAAAAACTAGAGCACACACAGCAGATCACATACGATTTCAAAGATGTAGAAAATTATTTCTCTTCCCACAATAGGAGACTCGTGAAGTAATTTACCTCCACCAAGCAGAAGCTATTAAGCCATAAACTTAGTTCCAATCACATGATCCACACACACAAACAAAAAAAGGTTTTCTAGGAAGGTACACATGTTATTCACGATATAAAGTAATAAAAATAATAATATTGGAAATTTTGTTTTTATGGAACACTCATTCTGGGTTCTGAAATAGCCATGTTCAACAAAATGCTAAGTATGAACAGAAAAGATAATTCCATTCATACGGTGTCACTTGACATGTTTGATGCTTGACTCAAAATTGTATTACTTTGCAGTTTAATAAAATTCATAGCATAAAATGTTACAGCATGTAAGTACTAAATATGGCAGAACTGAAAGAGGCTATCAGTAGCGCATCATTAGAATAAAAGAGTCAACATCAAACGTCCTGCAGAAAATTGTCAAGATACACATTGCTCACGCGCACTCTCTGCAAGAAAAGCATAAGCTACCATTATGATATCCCTTTACCAATAAAATATAAAACTTAAGAAGCAGATGGAGGTGGGAAATGTCAAAACACAGTATCTAAGAAAGATCTTGAAATTCATAAGTTTGAACAGACTACAAATTAAAATTTTTCTGACATGTCAAAAGGCAATACAACTTTTTTTCTTTTTGAAAAAAATGTACCGCTTGAGATACAAAAGTTATGATACTGTATTTACACTTGAATATAAGGCAGTGGATAATTTCCCCTTCATTAAATGATGTATCACTATGCCCTCATGACAAAATAAGTATTTGCTTCCATTTGCGATCCTCTTCATAGAATTGACCCAACAGAAAATAATACTTAAAGGAATGGAAGAAAAACAAATAGGCAAGGTAATTTACAAACATTGAAAAATTACGATCCTCAAAATGAATGAACCATTTTAACTTATCTCACAATAAGAAAAAGAACTATTATCACAGCCACAACAGAGAAATTTGAGAATGAGTTTGATGAAGTATGACTACTTTAAAAACATGAAGAATGTATGAAGTACGTAACTCCCTTTCACTCATAGGACAGATCCATGAGCTAACAGAAATAACAGCCGAAATAAAAATTGAACCATTCACAAATTACAATAAAGGCAAGTTCAAAACAAATCAATTTCTGAGAAAATGAATTCAAATGACTTTGAAACAGTCATTCGTTTGCACAGGAAAAAAAAGAAGAAAATAACAGAGGCAGATGATTTGAGATGATATAACAAAACCAATTCCCATTTGATTCCTGGAAAAACAATTAATTTTTATAACACACCTTGCTCTTTTTCTGTGCATTAGTTTTAGTTGTAGGCCGTTTCAATAATTTTCAATTATATTCTGCAAAATACTGCTATCAATGCAGTATCATAGTTCTCACACAAGTATAACTGGCAAGATACGGCCCCAATATAAGCAATCATGAAAGTTTGGACTTGCTCAATAGTTTAAAAACTCAATGTTTAATAAAGACCATATAAATTGTCCAGGAATAGTAACTAAAAATTAAAAACCAAAGGGACCACCAGTTTTATGCCTTATACTCAAGTAAATACAATACAAATGTTTACTTGTCTTTGTCATCTTCCTCATCAGAGTAGTTGGTAGGCTCTTCACCATCCTTCAAAAGGCGTCCAACATAGTCGTATTTCTCTGAAAAAGGTAATCAAAATGAGTAACTAAGATAGAAAACCTTACGAGAAAAATTCCAAAGAAGCAGTTAATTTAATACCAGTGAACTGCATTTCCCATTCACGCACGGACTCCATTTCTTGGGGGTTAAGGTCACTAAGATCATCATAGCCTTCTTTCTCGCATGACACAGAGAAAGTAGCTAATCCTCTTGATGCATCACGACCACCAAATGCAGCATAAGGTCCACCTGGCAAAAATTAAATTTTGGATCATTACAAAAGACAAAACGAAAAAATTGGCAATTTTTAATAGACACAGAGAACAGATAATATGGAAAAGGCAGCCAATTTGAATTTAAAAAAGGGACTTCTTACAAAAAATATCAAATAAACTTGACACAAAAGTAAATGTTGTAAAAAGACCAACATATGCTTTCAATAAGAATCAGATAGAAAAAACAGTTATTGCTCAAATCAATAATTAATGCAGAAAAACAGCGCCTGTACAGTGTCAAGACAGCAGCAGGTAGAAGGGTGAAGCTTGTTGACCTTTCACAGAATTTACATGTGGCCTATAAGATGATTCAGCCAAATTGACTAGCCTGCGATATCATGTGATATAGTCATCATAATACACGCAATTTAAGGATTAAAACTGCAAGACAGCACCCGCTTCCAGAAAATAATTTAACACATTCATTTTCCTTGCATAATATTATGTAAGAAAAACTTTGAAAAATTGGAAAGAAAGATAATGCACAGAATAAAATTGATTCTGAATACATAATGAGATTCTCATGTTGTTCTATCACATATCTCAGAAAATGAACCTGGACCTCTGTCCAAAACGCGGCACATAAAGATAAGGCAACAAGTCTGGTTCAGTAGTTCAATACCATCATGTTGACAACAGGTTAACCTCTCATAATCACAAACACGTATAGAAAAAACTAACCTGGCCCGTAAAAGCGTTTTCCTTTGGTCACATCAAACACTTTGCCGTTGACAGCAACTAGAATTCTTCCGTCGGGGCCGTTGCCATCAAATTTCTTCATCTCTTCCACGGTGAAATCTTTCCTGAGTTTCGGCAGTTGGGGTTCAGGGGCAACTTGTACAGGCGTTTCATTGCGACTCTTAAAAATTTTGTAAATAAGATAACAAATGACAAAGACTAGCGCTAAATTCAACGGACTGCTGATAATTTCATTAAAAATTGACGTTAAAAAGCCCTCGGGAGCGGGAGCACTCGTCTCGCTGGCCATCTTTACGAAATTTACGCCGTCATTTCAGAATGAGTGGAGCAGCGCGAGAGCGAGAGAGCAAGCTGCGTTCGAAAACTAACGTTTCGCTCGCCCGTTTCGCTCTCCGCTTTCGGGATAGACAGAGAGAAAGGTTTCGCTGACAGCTCGAACGCAGTCTAAAGGTGGGGGTTAGGCGGAATGCCACTTTCTGTTTGGCTGTGAGAGCTGGCCGGGCAAGCCGGGATAAAAACACACACCGCAAAACGTGTTTGTCTATCGATACTGATGCAAAAAAATCGCCAACTAGCCACACAGTACTGCGTTAACTACGTTTACAAATGCTTTCGGAGACTTTTTCTCCCATTCGTTCAGCCTTAGCTAGCCCCCCCTTTCGGCAGGAGAGGGCGCTGCGAGCGCCCCATATCCGCGGTGAATTTAAAAAGTATCGCAATTCATTCGTTTTCACTCGTTCATTCATTCCGTCTTTGAAAGACTCAGGTCGCCCACCCATCGCGCCTGAAGCCCTCCTCTTGCTTCTCACCCAACTGAATGGGGAGTGACATTTTGACCGAATTTGTTCGCACAACATCGTATAAGTGTCGTTCAATGAAATGTAATACACAAGTGCGGCGATAATGTGTAACATTTAATGTACATTTTTGTTCGCATTGCCGCTTTTAATGCACATCGATCATGTATGTCACTGGGCTCTGCTTGGCTACTGCGATATCGTTTCGACATCTCTTTTGGTGTCGTTTTGAAATCCATAATGGAATGGAATTCCTGTGCAGAGGGCCTGCACTCACCAAACGCATCGAACGAATGTTTCAAACCCCAGCAGCGCAACTGCAGTAATAATGCGCTTCAATGAGTTTTGAAATGCACATAAAAGGTGACACATTGGTGACGCATTAAATGCGCGTAGAACACACTAAATGCGCATTAAATGCGTTTTAAATGCGGTAATGCGCTTTAAAAGTGTCACCAATGTGTCAACTTTTATGTTCATTTCAATGCCGCGTTCGTGGCCCCTTTTTTGTAGAACTGAAAAATAGTTAACTGTAACCGGCACAAAGCAGTTCGTACGGAAATTGAACAAGTCGCGGCATCTTGTAACACCCGTTATGAAAAATTTTGATGTCAACTATTGATGTCAACTTGTCACCTGGGCTTAAGTTTACAACTTTACATAAACATACGCCAGGGTCGGGCACCACTGTTAGGTTATCGAATTTCAAAAAACTCACATCACTCTATTAAGAAGCCGTTTTTGAATCCTTTCAGTCAGGATTACAAATTTTATATCAAACAACTATTCAATGAAAAACAATTTCCCTTTTTGAATTTGGCGGCTGGAACGGAAGCGCCATGTCGTATTTCACACAACCTCCCTTTTGTTGGCTTCGAGACACTTCTTCTCCGGCAAGGAAACAGGTGCACTAACTGCGATTATATATTTATCCCTCTGATAATTCTCAAAGAGATGCAATCTATCCGTCTCACAGTTTCATTATCAAATTTAATTTTGAAAATCATATAATTTAACAGTGGACATAAAGTTTTAGACAGTAAACACATCTGGTGACGCCACAGACTTTTGTTTTCTGGGGTTGGTGTCATTGTGAGTGGCCTGAGGCAGTGTTCGAGAACTTCTGGATTTCGCTGATAATTCCGCTTATCTGCCGAGGAAATGTGGTAATTCTGAATGTTCAGCACAGTTTTCAGGCAAATACGACATATTTGATGCGTGAAAACAGTCTTGTACGCGAGAATAGGACACGAAATAAGGGAAACCAATGGAGAAACTATCCTTAGCCACGTGACCACCGCCGACCAATGAGAGCGAAGAAGCCTCGTTTATACTCGGAAATTTTCTGACAAGCGTAGAAAACTTTTCATCAACAGCCGCCATTTTGACTTACTTCACTGTGTTGAAATTTGGAAATTATTCTTGAAATTTGCAGTTGTTTCTGACCTCCTAGTGAGATTTATTTGGAATAATCAAGTGCGGTAATGTTCGATGTGTGGTTCTACCTCGATTAAGTGTGTTATTTTGTGCCGATGCTCGGAAAATATTGTGCATTATACTCGGGATCATTGTGCAAGTTCCGAGCGAAGATGGAGAGTGGAACCCAGTAAGCCTATCGGCCGACTAGGGGCTTCTTTTTGTCCGATGGTTGACTTCGGGTTCTTAATATGTCCTTTGAAGGATATAATGAGCCCAGAACTGATGGCATGATCAAACCCAGGCGTCCTTCCAAGCGAGTGTGGGCTAATAAGCCATGTGTACGGGATATAAGTCGCAGTAAAACAGAAACTTAGGCTAGAGGGCACGGCTTTTGTAAACAGGGTGATCATGGGCGACCATCTAGTGGACGGACCGCCAAACAAGCGGCCAAAGCTGGGCGATTTTCAACCCAGCCAAGATTCAACGGGTAAGTCAAATTTCGGGAAACCGAAACATTCGCAGTTTTTCCTCTTCGCGTACCCGCGCTCCGTTTTCGTAGTGCCGAGTGCAGTATCGCATTTAGCACAAGCTTTTAAATTGACAATTTGTTTGTTTTCCCGATATTTATGCTAGTTATTAAATGAGGGAGATGTGTATCTGGGTATTTTTTTCATTTAGGCACGGCTCTGTTCGATTAGTGTGTAAACTGTCGTTTATTTAACTTGACGCTCAATGGCATTAACCTAGGCCTCAGGCTTGTTTTACCTCGCAAAAGTGTCTCCCCATTCACTGAGGTCTAGCGTATTTGTTTATGAATCAATAGTATTTTCAACCTTGCTGAGTCTGTATTTTAAAAAAATGTCCATTTGTAACTTTTCCTGAACCTATCATTCATTTTGTTTTCAAAACAACTTAACCTAGTAAGCATTCAGCACTACTTTTTATAATTCCTGTATTCACTTTTTGAAATCAAAACATTTATTTAATCCTGAGTGTTGAGTTCAATCAACCCAATGTTTATGTGAAGAGCATACTATTTCATCTGCCAATCTTGCCTACTTCATTCATTCTAATGGATGCCCAGGGCTTGTCTAATGGTTTCAGATTTAAACTTTTTGAAGTCTTCTGTCCTTTAATTGGATATTTTAAGTATCTAACTGTATTTTGTCATGCTGGTCACTAAAGTTGTCAGTTACCATTACTTCTTAGTTCCTTACCCGAGAAGATAAACAAGTGCATGTACATTCAATGATATACTGTAAGGCCTGGGCATTATTCATTCTCTTTTCTCAAACCAGACCTAGCTTTGTACATTTGTGTTCCTTAAGTTTCTTTTTTACTTCATTTATTCGTGGAAAGTGCTAGTCAAGATCTGAAAGGAATTAAGATTAATCAAATATTCTTGTCTGACAACTTGAGTTCTTCAAATCTGTAACTTATCCTTAATTTTAAATTTTTTATCTTCCAGGCTTATTTGATGGGTCAGATATGTTTGACATTGAAAATGATCTACCCGATGAATTAATGAGTATGAGCCAACAATGGGGTGGTTCAGGCGATACCCTTTCAACCACCAACAAAGTTCATGCTACAGGACCTGGTCCTGGTCCAGGGGGGCCGGGTATGGGACTAGGTGGTCCAGGGGGTGGTCCTGGAGGCGTACAGCAGGGTCCTACAGGGCCTACAGGGCCTGGTGGACACGCTCCGAATGTTCTCCAGAATGGAGCAGTGGATCCCACTGGACAGAATCAGGGAGTAACGCCTCACCAGATAGCTCACCATTTGCAACTCCAACAACAGGTAGTTTATTTTGAAAGAAGTGTCACTACTTCTTAGGAAGATGGTTGTGAAAGAACTTTTCCTAATCATCTTGTTTCAATTTCAGGGCAATAAAAATCTAGTAGCCAATTCTATTGCACTTCAACAGCAAGCAGGAAACAAGAACCCAAATACCATGCAAATTCCTCCCAATGTTGCAGTGAGCAAAACAGGAATAGGAAATGTTGTTGTCAGTGGTGACCCTAATATGGTGGTTAGCATTGGTATGGCTAATGCCAATTCAATGCAGTCCTCAGTCTCTAATGTCATGTCTGGCGTTGGTCTCAGCAGTGGAGCAAGTGGTGGTGAGTTGAGTTTAGAGCTTTCTTATGTGTTAGAACCTTTTTTTGTTAAGAGTAATTTCACCCGCAAGTAACTTTTCTAAGGATTCCAAAAAATTTCAGGGATGATGATGGGCAATTCCGGTGCCATTAATTCATTGGGCGGAATGGCAGGTGGTGGATTAGTTGTGAACAGCCTGAACAAGGCCTCACAGCCAGTCACTATGATGAGTGGTGGTCCACCTGGACCTCAAGGACCTCACCATCCGCCCCTTCCATGTGGAAATGTTGTGCCTGGACCTCCTCATCAAAACGGACCAATCATGAGGCTACAACTTCAACAACAGCAACAGCAGCAGCAGCAGCAGCAGATGGTGGCGAGAGGCCAATCGCCTCATCAGGTGCATGTTGGACTTAATGTTGCTGGGCCTCGCATGCAAGGTCCAGGCATGCCCAATATTGGGCAAATGCCAGGAGCCATGGGAGCTGGGGGCCCCTATGGTTATGGCTCACCTAATGCACCTGCACCAAATGCTGGTGTTGTTGCTCCTCAGCAGCGAGGTGTTGGTCCAAATATGGTTCCACTTCCTCAGCAAAGATTTGGTGGTTCTGGTCCTCCTATTGTTGGAGGCAATGAAGGTGGTATGGCTCAGCAAGCTCAACCACCTGCCCCTTCACCTGCTCAACCCCAGTCAGGTGCTCCCAGTGGTGGACAGCCAGGCCCCCAAGCAGCTACTCAAGGTGCACAGAACCCCGGGAAGCCAGGTGTTCCTCAGTCAACACCTTCAGCTGCTGATCCTGAAAAACGCAAACTAATTCAGCAGCAGCTTGTGTTGCTACTTCATGCCCACAAATGTCAAAGGAGAGAGCTAACTAATGGGGAGTCTACTAATGTAAGTCTATAAATTTTATCTTGTTCTCATTCTCCTTAGCATGATCTTTTTATTAATTATTCCTCCTTGTTCAGTGTCAGCTTCCACATTGTAATACTATGAAAGGTGTGCTACAACACATGACCAGCTGTCAGGCTGGTAAACAATGTCCCATGCCTCATTGCTCATCATCCAGACAAATCATCAGCCATTGGAAACATTGCTCGAGAGCAGACTGTCCTGTATGCTTACCATTGAAACAGGCACCAAAGGATAACTTAGGTAATTATTTTGTTATTTTCTTTTTTTTTCAAGGATTGCTTTGCTTCTTTTGCTTCTGTGCCCTCTCTTTTTCTACCTCATCTCTCTTTGTCTGTGTCTTTTTCATTTTCCTTGTCGATTCATTGCTTTACCACACCACCTGATGGTGCTGGTGGTGCTATTATTTGAATGTTGGGAATTGTTTTGTGCTTATGCCAAGCTTTTGTCTCAGTTGTCAATCAGCCTGCTGCTAATTCTCAACCTAACCCATCCCAAGCGGACATGAGAAGAGCATATGAGTCTTTAGGTTTTAATGTGGGCAATATTGTTACTCCAGCCCCTCCGGGGCCGAGACCACGTCCACCCGTGCCGCCTCAAGTTCCTGGTGCCATCAACCCATCTCAAGCACCGCCCAACATGTCACTCAATAGATTAGCAATTGTACAGCAGCCAAGTAAGATCATATCCGCCTTTAATTGAACTTACTATTTTTTTAAATTCTGGAAATTTTATTTCATCTCTTATTTTCCAGCTCCACCTGCAACTAATGTGCCCGGGTCGGGTCCTGGACATCCCCCTCTTTCTGTAGCAAGTGATCCCACAAATAGTACACCTCAAGTCTCAGCTCCTGGTCAGGCACCCACTCAAACACCCACAAGCTTACAACAGCAACAGCAGCAACAGCAACAACAGCAGCAACAACAACAGCAGCAGCAACATATGCAAATCTTTAGTAGCCTACCTGGTCCTAATGGTGAAACTCCAGGCAATCCAAATGTATGTACCTATATCGAGATCAATCTGTCTTGTGTAATTTTTTATTCACATCTTGTAATGTAAAATGTATATTTCTTAAACAGAATTTGCAGTTACCTCAAGGGTTGCAAGCCAGTCAAGTCACTGCTATGTCAGTGCCTGGTACCAAAGAATGGCATCAGTCTGTCACACCTGACTTGCGCAACCATCTAGTACACAAATTAGTGCAAGCAATTTTCCCAACCCCTGACCCTACTGCAATGTTGGATAAAAGAATGCACAACTTGGTTGCTTATGCTAGAAAAGTGGAAGGCGACATGTATGAGGTGGCCAATTCAAGGTCAGAATATTATCACCTCCTTGCTGAAAAAATTTACAAAATTCAAAAAGAATTGGGTGAGTTGATTTTAGTCAATATTTTAGAAAAAAAATCTAGTTGTTTTGGTAGTTTTGTATAATTCCTCACAATTAATATGTATTTTGCTACCTTTTCAGAGGAAAAGAGGCAAAAACGCAAGGAGCAGCAGCAATTGCAGCAGCAGGCTCAACAGAACAACCAACAGCAGCCACCTCAACAGCAACAACAACAACAACCACCACTTCAGCAGCAGGTCCCCCCACAAATGCCTCATCCCTTGAGACCGAATGCTCCCCGCCCGGTCGGTGCTGCTCCACAAGGTTTGTGAATTGATTTTTTCTTTTATTTTTTTTATTTTTTTATTTTTTTATTTTAATGTACCCTTTACTTAACTATCTATCTATCTATCTATCCTCAATTAGGTATGAATCAAGGTATCAGTCAGATGGGCAACGTTGGTATTCGGATGCCGTCACTTTTGCCTGGTCAGATCCCTCCTGGCCAGTTAGGATCTTTGCCGGGTCCAAGTCCTGATGGCTCACAGAATATGGTGCCAGGCCCTGGAGGCCCAGGTGGCCCTGGTTTGTCACCCTTTTCCTCAGCAACAACTACAGCTAGTCAATTTTCAGGAAATAATGGTGTTGGTGGTGAGTTGATAACCTAATCTTTTTATATTCATCCAGTGTCAAAAGAAGTATGTTGTGTAATTCTTTTTTTACTTGCAGGGCTAATTACTCAGCAAGGTCCTCAGTACCCTGACATGATCAAAAGACATCCTGGTGCTCCCGGTGCTAATAATACAGTCCCTAATAGTACTGCTAATGCCCAGTCCACCTTAGGGTTTAACAACTTGCCAGCTCAGCAACCTAATCAGCAAGGAGCTGCCCAAGCACAACTACTCTCTCAGGGTCCTGGGCAAGGACCTCAGCCGCAGCCTCTTCCCAGTCCCCAATTCTCATCTCCACCTCCAGGCTCACAGTTGCCCAGGCTGCCTATGCCTCCCACACCCACAAGTCAAGATGGTCACATACCCAACTCATCAATGCTGGTCTCCAGCTCGCCGTCACCAGGCCTCACACCTACTTCAAATGGCCTTCCAGGTGCCGGTCCTGTTCAGGGACCCCAGGTCTCTGCCGCGACCCCTGCGTCGCTCTCTTCACATCAATCTCTTTCGGGCCTCGGCCTTATGGCTTCCACCACTGTAGCTGCCTCCAATTCTGTGCCAACACCAGGGTCAGCAGTGTCCACAAATGGTAAAAACTAAACTTGGCTTCAAATAAAAATAACCATTTTTCAAACAGATATAATTATAATTTCATTATTTTTAACAGCATCCAACACCATGTTAGTATCCACAACTGCGTCCTCAAGCCCAGCACCTCCTACCCCTAGCTCACCAGCTGCCCCTCTAAGTGGTGCTCTGGCTGGCATGGGCAAGGGAGGAGGAACTAGCAATGGAGCAACTAGCAGGCCTACTCAGAGATCCAGTTCCATGTCAAGTCAAATGTCTGCTCTGACTGCTGCTCTTGAAAGGGACCAGGACTCTCCTCCTTCAAACAATAATGTCGGAAAGAATATAAAAGAAGAAAAATATGATGACGATTCTCAGGCGGATGGCAAGGGCAGTGGCAAACTGAAGCAGGAAATAAAGGCAGAGCCCATGGATGAATCAAGCGCGGAGAACTCATCTATAACAGTCAAGGAAGAATCTGTGAAGCAAGAGCCAGGTAGTCCTATGCGTAACAGTGTATCACACAGTATTGCTCCGTCTGACAACAAAGACCTCATGGATATTAAAGACATCAAGCCTGTTGTCTCAGAACCTGTTGCCAGTAGTAGTGCTCCAGGAGCTCCTCCAGAAAAAAGAAAATGCTGTAAGTTAACTTTCACATACGGTCGTATTGTTAGTTATTTTGTTGAATTGTTATTGACTTTCTTTCTCTTTTCAGCATTTAAGCCAGATGAACTTCGTGTGGCTTTGATGCCCACATTAGAAAAACTGTTTAGGCAGGATCCAGAATCAATACCCTTTAGACAGCCTGTTGACCCACAATCATTAAATATTCCTGATTACTTTGATATAGTCAGGAAACCTATGGATTTGTCAACAGTGAAAAAGAAACTGGACACTGGCAAGTACTCTGATCCGTGGGAATATGTCGATGATGTGTGGTTGATGTTTGAAAATGCATGGCTGTACAATAGGAAGACATCAAGAGTTTACAGATATTGCACCAAGGTATTGACATTTCAAGCTTGCTAAGACTTCCATATTTATTTAATAAATATCTGGTATTTAACTCACCTTTGATTTTTCTCTGCAGCTTTCCGAAGTATTTGAACAAGAAATTGACCCTGTCATGCAGGCATTAGGGTACTGTTGTGGGCGCAAATATACTTTTAATCCCCAGGTTTTGTGTTGTTATGGGAAAACGATGTGTACCATATCCCGTGATGCAAAATACTTCAGTTACCAAAATAGGTAGGCTTATTTGTTGAAGAAAATTAGTTTTGCTGGTCCTATTTCTTAACTAGCGTATATGTAACCTGTGATTTTGTTTTAAAGGTATACATTCTGTCAAAAGTGCTTCAATGATATTCCTGGTGACACTGTTACATTAGGAGATGACCCCACCCAAACACAAACGTGAGTAAAGTAGAATGTATGTTACTGTCCATCAACGCTTTACTTCAAACCGAATTTTAAACATTCTCTTTTTTATCTATTAGTGTAATCAAGAAGGATCAGTTTAAGGAAATGAAAAATGATCATCTCGAAGCTGAACCCTTCGTTGATTGTGGAGACTGCGGTCGCAAGCTTCATCAAATTTGTGTTCTTCATATGGAGAATATCTGGCCTCAAGGGTAAGTACTGAAAAAAGTAACAATTACATTAACCACAAATTTTCTTATCTATTCTACCACTACAAAATATTTCTTTTTCTAGATTTGTATGTGATAATTGCCTTAAAAAGAAAGCTGGTAAAAGGAAAGATAATAAATTTAATGCCAAAAGACTTCCGCCATCCAAGCTTGGATCATATATTGAGACACGTGTTAATAATTTCCTGAAGAAGAAAGAGGCAGGAGCTGGTGAAGTAGCTATTCGAGTTGTATCAAGCTCAGACAAGATGGTTGAAGTAAAACCTGGAATGCGGAGTAGATTTGTCGAAAGTGGAGACCTTTCTGAACAATTCCCATACAGAGCTAAAGCTCTATTTGCCTTCGAAGAAGTTGATGGAACAGATGTGTGCTTCTTTGGCATGCATGTTCAAGAATATGGTTCTGAGTGCCCCAACCCTAACACTAGAAGAGTTTATATTGCTTATCTCGACTCAGTTCATTTTTTTAAGCCGAGACAATTCAGAACAGCAGTTTATCATGAAATTTTGCTAGGCTACCTTGACTATGTCAAACAATTAGGGTAAGTTATTTTGTTCTTTGGTACACAATTTTTTGATTGGCTATGACTTACATTCTCTCACAATCTGCTTTCTATTTTTCCTTAGGTACACAATGGCTCATATTTGGGCATGTCCACCCTCTGAAGGGGATGACTACATTTTCCATTGCCATCCACAAGATCAGAAAGTTCCAAAGCCAAAACGTTTGCAAGAATGGTACAAGAAGATGTTAGATAAGGGTATTATTGAACGAGTTGTATTAGATTACAAAGATATTTTGAAACAAGCTATGGAAGACAAATTAAGTTCTGCTGCTGATTTGCCTTATTTTGAGGGAGATTTCTGGCCAAATGTCCTTGAGGAATCAATCAAAGAATTGGACCAGGAAGAGGAAGAGAAAAGAAAGCAGGCTGAGGCTGCTGAAGCTGCAGCTGCTGCTAATGCTGAAGATAGTGAAGATGGTATTGGACCAGATGGCAAGAAAAAGGGTTCCTCTAAGAAAGCCAAGAACTCAAAGAAATCAAAATCAAATCAACGTAAAAATAGCAAAAAGTCCAGTGCCCAAGAAACTGGTAATGACCTGTCTGCCAAAATCTTTGCTACGATGGAGAAGCATAAGGAAGTTTTCTTTGTTATCCGTTTGCATTCAGCCCAGTCAGCAGCTAGCTTGGCAGCCATTCAGGACCCTGACCCTTTTATTAACTGTGATCTTATGGATGGTCGGGATGCATTCTTGACCATGGCTAGGGAGAGGCATTATGAATTTTCATCTCTTAGAAGAGCAAAGTTTTCATCAATGGCAATGTTGTATGAGCTACATAATCAAGGGCAGGACCGCTTTGTATATACCTGTAATAATTGCAAGAGCCATGTGGAAACAAGATGGCACTGTACTATTTGTGATGACTTTGATCTCTGTATTGCGTGTTATGACAAACCTGGTCATAATCACAGAATGGAGAAACTTGGTTTGGATATTGACGATGGTTCATTACCGTATGACAACAAGCAGGTTAACCCACAAGTAAGTCCTATTTCTTTTCTGATGCAATTTTATATGTTTCAAAGTTTGTCACCAATAACATCTCACAATTTCTTCTTAACAGGAGGCAAGAAAACTGTCAATTCAGCGTTGCATCGCTTCTCTGGTGCATGCCTGCCAGTGTCGCGATGCTAACTGTAGATTACCAAGCTGTCAGAAGATGAAGAGAGTTGTACAACACACCAAAATGTGCAAAAGAAAAACCAATGGTGGTTGTCCTATCTGCAAGCAGCTTATTGCGTTGTGTTGTTATCATGCCAAGTACTGCACGGTACGTACCATTGTGGTGGCATGAATATTTTAATTACATGTTTCTTATCTTCTTTTTTTCTTGAATTATCAGAACAGAAACTTATTTTCATCTCTTTATGCCTTGCAGGATACAAAGTGCCCTGTTCCATTCTGTCCAAACATTAAACACAAGATGAAGCAGCAGCAATTGCAACAGAGAGTGCAACAAGCTCAGTTGTTGAGGAGACGAATGGCTGTGATGAACTCAAGACCAACTGCTCAGACAAGTTCTGTCGTATCATCTAACACAGTTTCAAGCGCTCCTAACAACGCTGTATCAGCTATGGCCAGTGGTGCAGTTAGTCCAGTTTCTGTTAGTGCTGGCCAAGGCTTGCAGCCAAGCCAGCCCAATGTTCCACCACAAGGAGTTGTTCCTTCAATGATGCAACAGCATCAGCCGGGTGTAGGAATAAAGCCAGGAACCCAAACACCTCCTGCTAATGTTCTTCAAGTGGTAAAGCAGGTTTGTGGCTTGCTACAGCTCTTCTTCCCCATTCTACTCTATCCTTTCATTTTCTGAACATGTAGGTCATATGGTCACATTCATTGTCTGACTCCAGGTCCAAGAGGAAGCTGCTCGTCAACAAGCTCCTCACACGGCTGTGGGGTATGGTAAAGGTGTTCCTCCTAACGTCATGGCGCCGCCCATGCAGAGGCCAATGGGACAGATTGGTCCAGTTCAAGGTGGACCCATTGGTCCAGGTGGTCAAATGTTACCAACAATGGATAACTGGAATGCCAAGTGAGTACTTGCGTCAACTTCTCGACTGTTCTTCCCCCTAGCTTATGCCATTGATGTGTCCTCTAAACATGTTTTCCTCTATCTCTATTTCCAGTCGGTATCCCTCCAATGTTGCCCTTCAACCCAATTCAGGGCTCAGACAACCTGCTCCACAGAACCAACATCAACAACAGTTGATGCAACAACAACAGCAACAACAGGTTCAACAGCAGCAGCAACAAGTTCAACAGCCAATGCAACAGCAGCAGGTGCAACAGCAAATGCAACAGCAGCAGATGGTGGTTGGTGGGGTACCGCAGCAGCAACAGCAGCAGCAGCCTGGTATGATGGTTGGACCCGGTCAGATGAATCCAGGCGTGGCTGGTCCTCAGCCTGGTCCAGGCCCAGGTCCTGGTGTGGCAGGTGGCATCCGACAACCTGGTATGCCAGGTATGCAGCAAGGGCAGCCAGGAGGCAAGATGGCACTTCAGCAGCTTCTGGCCACTCTCAAGTCGCCCAACACTCCTGATCAACAACAGCAAATCCTCCAAATTCTGAAGAGTAACCCACAACTAATGGCAGCCTTCATCAAGCAGCGACAGGTATGTAGAAATTTGATTCATGCCAACTAGTTGCCTATCTATTTTTTTACTCAAGTTGAAAAGTTTGTGATCAACATCTTGAATTTCAATTTGAATTTGTAAATTTGGTGAAGGAAAGTCTAACACTGGTATCTTCTTGTTTTCCCCTTTTACCAAGTATTACTGTTTCTTGACGCGCTACTTTAATTCCCTTTAGGCTCACCAAGCTCAGCAGGCGCAACAACAGGGTGGCCCTGGGCAACAACCTCAACTTGGACCACAACAGGTCCAACAACAAGTGCAAGTTCAACAGCAACAGCAGGTGCACCAGCAGCAGATGCCGCAGCAACAGGTCCAACAACAGCAGCAGCAACAACAGCAGCAGCAGCAACAACAGCAACAGCACATGTTACAGCAGCAACAAAGTATGATGCAGCAGCAACAGCAGAATCAGATGCGGCAAAATATGATGCAGCAGCAGCAGCAACAACAACAGCAGCAGCAACAGCAACAGCAGGGCCAGCAACACATGATGACGCCACAGCAACAGCAACATCAACACCAACAGTGGATCCAACAGCAGCAAATGCTGGCCTTGAAGCAGCGTCAGCAACAGCACCAGCAACAGCAACAGCAGCAGCAACAACAGCAACAACAGCAGCAGGTGTTCCAGCAACCGACCGGCTTCCCCCAACAGAGGTTACCTGGCATCAGACCACAGGTGCCTCAAGGCGTTGGGCACATGAACTGGGAGCAGCAGTATGTGATGCAAGGCATGAAGCCTACCCCTGCCCCCGTCGTGTCGCCGCACGGACAGCCCCACCCCGGGGGCGTTCCGCACCCCGGTCCCCATCCGGGTGGCGTGCCCCATGTTGGCGGCGTGATGGGCCCTCCCAACCACAACATGCAGCAGCTGATGCAGACGGTGAGGTCGCCCCCGCCCATCCGCTCGCCCATCCCACAGCCGAACGCCTCTCCGCGGCCGGCCCCTCTCACGTCACCTCGCAACCAGCCTGTGCCTTCGCCCTCCGGGGAGATGATGCTGTCTGCCCCCCATCCGCATCCCCATTCTCACCCTCATCCCCACCTTCCGCACCAGTCGCCTGGGCCCTCACCCTCATCACAAGGACCGGTGCCTGACCCTAACGATATGACTCCCATGACGCCCCAGGATCAGCTGTCCAAATTCGTTGAGCAATTATAGCATGACGGTTACTTAAAAGAGAAGATGAACTGAGTATTTTTTTTTAATTACTTTTACATTTAAAGTAAAGGACTGTGTAAAGGATTCTTACAATGGTTCTCTCTGGAGGCCAAAGCGAACCAGGAACTGGATTCGTTGAAAGTAATAGTATTATTATTAAATGAATTTGTGTTAAGAGGTCATGAACTTCATCTCTTTATTGCTTCAGCTAGATATGGGTAAACTAGAGTATTTCTACCTTCTTCCCATTTTAGTATTTTGGTATATATAAAAGTAATGCAGTATTTGTACCACTTTGAATCTGTTTGTGTTTGTGTTCCTACTGTATAATGACAATTAAGAATCATCATTTCCAGTGTCATGTGTCTCGAGTGATAAGCCAGACTAATGATTTTGGAAGATTTTTAAACAAACTTGACGCGGCAGTCATTTTAGTGAAGTGATGCAAGAAAGTGAACTCAACCTGCACTGCCGTAATATATTTTCAATTGATCGTTGAAATTGAAGATTTGTGTTTTCCCTTTTATACTATTGTAAATAATCTTATGATGCCAGTACTGTTTATAAGGCTCTTGTGTTTATTATTGAAGCAAGTTTATATTTGAATGGACAGACTGTATTGGCTTAGCAAAGGCTGTGTTATGTGCTGCGTGAATGTCAGACAATGAACAAAAATCATGTATTATCGGTGCATTACACTATTGTTTGTTAATTTTTATTTTATTAACTAAGTGTAAAAGTGATGGACGAGTGAAATTAACTAGGTATTGTTGAATGTACTGAAGGGCATGAAGCATAGTCTCTTGGCGCTCCAGTATGTTTTGTTAATAAGTTGTATGCATATTTGTGTGTACAACCTGAATGAGAAGTTTCACTCTGATGGGAAAATTGTAAATAATAGTTGTTAAGTTTCCCGTGAAACTGCAAATTTGTTATCAATAGTAGTAGAAAACCATGTTTGCCTCTGACCAAGAAAGAAGACATTTCTGTATTTAATTTCCTATAACTCATTATTTATTACAATTAGAGATTAAACAAATGTTTCTTTCCATTAAATTGACAAATATATAGACCTCAGACCAGGCTAGCAACATTTTGGAAAGCATGGTTATGCATTGTTCCTGAGACTGAATGCCTTGGGTGAGGCGATCGTGCACACGGATCATATTTGGCCATATGTGATCCGTGCGCAGGGAAGCTATTTGCACCTGCTTGATGGAAAGAAACTTTAGGTCATAGCGAAGGTTGCAGCTGCTGCTGTTCATGTTAAAGCAACTGCAGCAAATACCTTTTTTTTCTGAAAGCCACCGCCTGGGGCTATATGAAAACTTTGTTCATTGTAATTTAATGTATATATAACACCTTGAATGTACAAATCCTTGCTATTATTTTAGAAGTATAGAAAACTTGTAATATAAATAAATATATACAATCGCTCCGGTGAAAATTGAGCTAGCTGAAATGGTGTTCCTCTTAGGACATTGCCTTACTTTAGTCTAAGTTATTACATTTAATAAAGTATCAGTAACATTTGTTACTTTACTTAAATGATTATTTAAATTCCTTTACTAATCCCGTTGGTCGTTATCAGTGCAGTTTGTAAATTAAATAGATAGATGAGATTGTTAATGTTGAATCTACATTTAAATTCCATGACTATGTATATAGAAAATATTTATTAGCAAAGCTATGCTCTTGATTTTCTTTTGTTTTGTTTTAGGTAATTGGAGGGGCTAATGAGTATTGAGTGCATTGCTTTGCAGATGGAGGTTTAAATGTAGATTCAACTTAAAATGTAGGTATGGAATGGTGGGGTGGGAAGGACCGGACCAGACCAGATGCAGAGGCATGTCTACTTATGATCTTCAAACAGACCAAAGGGCTTTCTTTTTTTGTATGTTTAAGAGGGCCTCTTCCTTGCATGATGCACCATTCTTTTTATCTTAAATTGAGAGGATTCTCTCATGGCTCATTTTATTATGTGTTCTCATGTCGGGGAAAGGTATTTGGCATCAAAAGGCTCTGTCTAGTGTAGTTTATTCCCTTTTATCTCATGTTTCGTTTTCAGTCTTTCCCTCTTCCTTTTCTGATTTCATTTTTTTTAATTGTCATTAATGATGTGTAACTATTGACGGCTGGAGGCAACTATTTATTTGCATTTTGTACATAGTAACATATGTTGTCTATGTAGCGGGTCATAAATATTTGTCTGGCCTGAGTCTTTGAAAGGTGAAACTGCCAAGCTTAGGTTGCACAGATAGGTACTGTTACTGTTAAAATTACTGCACTCAGTGGAGTAATATTTTTTCTATAAAGTGTTAAAGTCATTAATTCAATCTTGTTCAAAACTTGTCAACTTCGGGATATTAACATTCCAGAGCTGCATGGTAGGATTATGTGCAGAGAGGGTACTCACATTTTTGTGTTAGTAAACTCTATCTTGTGATAAATTTTACATCAGTGTTCTTTTCTTGGTCTTATGGCATTCAGTATTTACATGCTTTGTAACAAATATGAATAAACAATTATTGCTAAGGGAGACTGTATAAATGCATTTTTAATTTTTTTTTGTTGAAGTAATTATAATTTATTGAACTGAATTTTATAGGTTGTATTTTTTTCATTGCAAACAATTCTGCACTCCTTTTGTTTCTGATGTTAAGTTTTCCCCTTTTTGCTTTTTTCTGTTTTCTTTTTCTCTTTAAGTTTTATTTTGTGAGTACCCTTGCGTGGAACAGCCAATCACACTTCAGTTTCTTGACAAGTACAAATTACATTAATCCCATACACTTCCGCATCAGTACTCACTTTGACATTGTTTATTACATAAACCTCTGAGGGCCACATAAACTCTTGTATTATAGCTATTCTTGGTATTCAAATTTTTGTCATTTAGGGAAATTGTACTTTTTTTAGAGCCTATGATCACATTTCTGATGTAGTGGTATCTCCGTGCTTTTATATGGTTGTGAATTCTCTTGTCCCTAATTTTATACCTTGTTGGAAATTTGGTCTCCCTTGAAATCTAATGTTTCTATTTTATAATTTCTTAAAATATTTCTATTAGTAATTCTCTCAAGTCAAATGTCTGTTATTATTCAAATATGATTTTTGCAGACTTGTCATGTGGTGTTTGCTTTTTGATCCCTTTTTTTCCCCTTGTTGCTCTCTTTGAAGACATTTTATTGGTATAACTTTTTGTGTTAAGAGGTCATGAACTTCATCTCTTTATTGCTTCAGCTAGATATGGGTAAACTAGAGTATTTCTACCTTCTTCCCATTTTAGTATTTTTGTTTATATAAAAGTAATGCAGTATTTGTACCACTACATCTTTCTCAAACACATTTTATAGTATTGCAGTCAATTCATCAACACAAACCAAGATTCTTAAAGTGATAGGAGCATGGCGGCTTTGTAGTGCCAAAAACATTTATTTCACACACAATCAAAATCATTTCACTTTACCATTTACCTATAATATACATTTTGCAATAAACTTCTTGACACATGATGTTGAGAGGGTTCCCAGTTCTCTACATTTTCATGATTATCCAAGTTGAGCATTAAAATCAAGTAAAGAATACTAAACTCTTGAACTGTGCCATCATGTACTTTTTTTTAAATAAGTATTTTAGGTATTACAGAAAAGATTGTGCCCTTTTTAAAAATAAAGTTAGTCTTGAAATAAAAAATTTGGTATACTTCTGCTAGAAGCAATGTGAGATTATACAAGCATTGTAAAAACTTACTAATTGGCCAGTTATTGGTGCAGTCTTGACAGTTCAAGTGAAATAACCAATCTGTGATTGCAATAATAGATCTGATCTCATTCAAAATTTGTGCTCAGCATGCTCAATAACATTTTGCATTAGTGGTTTTGTATAAGTGCTATCCCTGGTGATCCTAGAAGTTTAAAGCATCAGTATCAATTATTTATCCTTACTTATGATGTCAATATTATCCTACAAGCATTGCACCATTAAACCTGTAATTTTGAGCTTGCTCAATGTTGTACAAAATTTTATAGCTTTACACATGTACAACACTTATGTATAAACATAAATTACCATGTGCTCCGTATGGTTTAGTTTCATACAATACTTAATGCTCCCCAAGAACTTTTCTTTGTGTGCACTGATTGCCCCTGTAATTTTGCTTCATTCAATCATTAGATGAGATCAATTGTATGAGTATAAAGATCTGCGTGGTGCTGAGAAAAAATAATGTAAATATTGCAAATATATGATTAATTACTTCTTTTTATTTAAAGAAGAAATTACGGAGAACTGTAAAAACGACAAAAGTTTCTGCAGAGACACATTGGTAGTTTTTCTTCATCCTGTCTGTTATCTATATTGTTTTTATTTTTCTTTTTGTATAATAAAATACATATTTTTGAATTCTGTTTGCTGTAAAGATAGCTTTCCCTAAGAAACTGAGCACAAAGAACTGAAAGAGATTAAGTGAGCAATAGAACTATCCCAGCCAGAAATGCATCGACGTTCATCAACGTAAACATTGAATCAACGTTGATTGACCAATATATGGTCCATGGACGTACTGTTGAATCCAATTGTTTGGAATGTTGAGAAACAAGCAAGGACAAGGCCACTTTGAGTATATACATAAGGAGTATATACTCATTCCTTACAACTTACAGGTTACAAATACCAGCCAGAGCTAAGACTGAAATAGATGAATTAATTCCAGAGAGTACTCTTTCTGCACAAAAGGATACTCTAAGAAGAGAGAATGAGGCAACAAAATAATTGGCCAGGTTACCACCGTTTGTGAAAATAAGGTCAAACAGGTCAAAATCATTAAGTCATTTTGAAGAGGCTTTTTACCACGATGAATCTATAGGGTAATTTGGCAGATTTTAAATCTGGACAACCTTATTATAGACAACCTACCATTGTATGACAATAGTTAAATGTGGTTTAAAGAACTGTATTTATGATTGAAAAAGGGATTAAGGAAAATACTCACAAAGAAAAGACATAGATATACACATAGATTATTATTAAAAGTTGAGTCTTAATACATATAGCATTACGTGATCCTTGACAACAAAAATTGTTAGTTCAAGTGAGTACTACTATTGGGAGTACCAGGTGAACCAACAACATCAATAATTTCAAGGTTTATCTTTTGCTTTCCGCCATCATTTTCACTAGATGATACAGTCTGACTTTCAGATAGAACCGGAATGTCCAAAGTCTGAAAGTTAAAAAAAAATGTAATATGTGAAATACGAAGTTAATAACAGACATACTCTATGACAAGACTTATGAGCCTACCTTGCCAGGGCAAAGTGCTTCATACTGGTGACGTAGGGTTTGAAGTTCAAATTCACATGTGCTAAATGCTGCTTTCAGTTCATGAAGCAAAACCATATCACTCCTTAATTCATTAAAGTGGGTACAAATTTCTTCTGTAGGCATAGGGTTTAATTCTGTAAAACATAACAAGACAAAAATTATATAAGATTTATGTCTTAAACTGGTTGAAACATGAAAAGACCAATTAAAGTTAATATGGCAATGGAACTCACCAACTCCCAATTCTTGAAGCAATTGTTCTACACCTTTAATTTTCTTCTGACCAACATTGGCTGGCATCTTCATTCTTTGAGATCTTACAGACACACCACTGCCTTTCATATCTGGGAATTTGATGCCAGTGCTCTCTACAGCCTGGAAAATGGATGGGAAAAATTATACAGAATACAATCATACGAAAGAGACTGTCTCGGAAACCAAAAGAGAAGTGATAGGAAAATTAGTGCTTTCCATTACCACAGTGTCAACACGAGGCCGTGTAAGTTGCTGCTGAAGCTTTTTCTTGGGAAGCTTCTTCTCAATTCGTCTATTTTCAGATTGGCTGTCTGCTGCTGTAATAAGCTTTTGTAAGTCTTGAGTCTTCTTATCCCTTTCTTTTTTCCGTGCTTCAATCCTACGATACTCAGTGACCAGAGACTGTTCTTCCTCAATCTGAATATTAAAAATATATCTATAATTAACATGCCAAAGGACAAAACATCCATCCAGAGAGCCAAACATCATGCACTAGATCAACATCAACTTGCCTGTTTTTGAGTTCTTTCATAAATCCTTTTCAGTTGTTCTTTTCTACGCCTTTCATGGTCTGCATCAAATACATATGGTTTTCCTTCTGGTGGGGATGTGCTCCGAACCTAAAACATCATAAAGTTAAATTTATATCAGGTTAGTAAAGACAAAGATAAATTTTTTGAGTTATTGAACAGAAACTAAGATGAATAATTTTTAACTCACTTTGGTTAGGGTAGTTTGTATTGTATAGAATCGTTCCTTTAGTTCCTCCACTGATCTATCAGTGAATTTCTCCTTATCAAATCTATCCTTCATAACAATAAATCTAAGGTCAAACCGTTTGGCTAAATCAATCAAATGATTGGTTTCTTCCTTGGTCCATCCTGTTGTTTGAAGATGCTGATTGTATTCATCATCAGTATATGATGGTACAGGTACTTTCTACAAAAAATAATTTATTTATTAAAATAAGTTTTGACTTGCCACAAAACATTTCGTTTAAAGCATTAAGGATATGTAGAGATGAAAAAAAACCTTATTAAACTTGGCAAAAGGATACTCTTTTCCTTCATCAGCAACCCTACGCCAGTGATGAAAGACAGCCCCATCAGTTCTCCCTGGATTGGTGAAAGGCATCCACTTCCATGGACGAACTTTACGCATCCCAAGCTTTGCCTTTGTTTGCTTATAGCCTTGACCTGTGGTAATAAGACGGTATTAGATCAGAGTTGAATAGACATACAATTACAATTTGGAACATAAACTTTCAACAGTTTAACAAAAAAACAGACCTGTATCAGTAGGAAAAACTGGAGGAACACCTTTGCTGTCATTGCACAAAAGGGCAAACACTTCTCTGGGCATTCCTTCAGGCCGTTTGGATACTTTGGGAGTTGACATTTGCATTTGCTTTTTCTTCAGTTTATCAGATGACCCTAAAATAGCCTCTTTCGTCAACTCCGGCGTTGGGGGCCGTTCAAGCCCCAAAATGTCTTGAACGTCACCCATGGCTGCTAGTCTGTTTAGGAGCGAAAGAAGTAAAATTACTCAAATAGAGTGGCATACCTTTCACACGTAAGGTACCTAGCCCGGAATTAAAACGGAAGTGGGAGGATAATTTTTCACATAAAAAAACAACAGGCTATTGAAGCTAGCACACAAATAAGTGAGATTTAAATAGTATTAATTGAATTAGTGGAAAGCTCATCAAAACACTAAAAGGTTAGGTTCCTACAGAAGTTTCAAGTTAGGAAAAATGATGAGAGAAGGAGCCTGGACTAAACGTACAGTTATTCTATGATACTTGCCTTTTACTGTCTTGAGAATTTAGGACTTATCTACCTTCATTATTAAATATTTTGAGTCATGTCGAAGTTCCGGCACAACAATCCTGCTTGGTCCGGCTGCGGTTAGTTTTCGGACCGGCCGCCAGGAGGATTCGGAGCGCTAGTTTCGGTTTCACAGTCCCGACCGAAAAGTTGCCTACCCTACGGGCGCCGTGTGCTCCCGTTCGACAAGTAGTAAGTAGTTGGTGATTTCTGTGGTCGCCTTCCCTGTAGCCGTTCGAGCTTATCTCGTCTTTAATGACATTAGTTGGGACTCGAGCCTCGGCCAATAATCAGCATGAGGATGCGAACGGACGCTGTCTCTGGCTGACTGACTCTAGCTCTCACTGCCAATAACGCAAACGCTAGTGGCGCGAACAAGTTGTCAGGCGTCGCGTGTTTAACCGAGTTTGGTCTTGCGTTCAGACAGGTTCAGCCCTTGCAACGGCCACATTTTGGGGTACTTCTTATTTGCCGCAGGGACATTGCAATCACTGTGCTTTTTTGGTTGGGGAACGGGGAATAATTTGTCTTTAGCTCGAAGGTGCGACTGCGACGTCCCTGGTCAAGTTAAGATGGTAAATTATATGATTCACACTTGGGTGCCTTGTCCCATATCAGTGTCCGATTTGTTGCAGAGTTCCGTCTCTTAGGCTACCAGTAGGTTACTAAAACACTTCAGAATATTATAATTCACAATTTCTATTTCACTCTAGGCAAGTGAAAACAACCAATCTCCTGCCTTAGCGTGGCAAGTTAAGCGTTACAGCCGTCGAGAAGGAGCATCCTGGGTGCCAGTGGATGACGGTACAGGCTCCTTTACTTTACTTGCTAAGGTAACAGAACGATTTTGATGATAATACAACTAAAGTGTGTTCATTATTAATTTTTTCAAACTATTGCTGAAAAAAAATTGTACTCAGGCAGGTCAGCTGATGCTCATTCAAAGTGGAATTGTTCTCGAGTCCTTGCCACTCAGCAACCATGATCAAATGCATGGCATTATGAAAGGTGATACTCTCTTGGTTGCAGCACGCCGCCAGGTAACAGTGCCTTAAATGTTAATGATACTTAATTTTATTAGCATACTGGGTAATTTGAGTTATGATCCCTATTGCTACTGTGTCTGAAGGCAGCTGCACGCAAGTTTAAAATTCGTTTTTCCTCAATCCAAATATCTGAAGATTGTGTAAAATATCTCCAGGACTTTTTTCCTGTTAAAGTTATGACAAGTAAGACTTCGATTTTTTAGTGAGAGAAGGTGGATTGACTATGAAACATGAGCATGAAGCAATCATATTCTTTACAGAGCCTGAAGATAATGTTCCAATACCTCTTGGTCAAATGTATCAGCATTTGATGCAGGCGAAACCAGTGGATTGTCTTCCAAGTAAATTCTGATTAGGAATGAATGAATTACTGTTGTTGTATTGGTAAAAAAAGTAATTAACCAAACTTCCTTTGCAACAGGCCCTGATCCTATACCAGCTTCCTTCCCTCTCGAGGAAACACTGCATATGTGCATTTTGGACCCCTCATTTCCAGAATTAGTTGGAAGAGTCGCAAGTATCTTATCTAATTTTGATATTGGAAAGGAAAATAATTAAGATAACTGAAATTTTACTCATAAATTCATCTTATTTCAAATACATAAAGTAAATATTTGTGAAACCATGTAGACATTAATTTCTATCCTCGAACGCCTTAAAAAAGTTTCCAGTTGTTGGACCAGATTCCATGACCCTTTTAACTTGCTCATTTAGAGAAGTGTTAGAAATATATGACCTTGCTGGCTTCTGTTTTGGCTCTACTTTTTTGGGTGGTGGAATTGCGGGTTTGAAGGCCATTGTTGATCCATCATACTGAGTGAATAAATCTTCTGCAGTTCTAGAAACACAGACAAAAGTTTTTTTAGAATAAATTCCTTTCTTTTGGTACCTTATGTCTATTAGGTTGATAAAAGAAAATCATTCACAGAATAGACACTCACAATTTTGCTAAATCCAAGGACAAACTCCCCACCCCTGTAGCAGGTGCTCCAGATGAGATAAAATTTGTGAACTTTCTCACAAGAGGATGGTAATGTCTCTGAGAAAAATGAAGATTTGGAAATACGGTAATTCATTTAAAATACAGTAGAATTTTGATATTAGTTGAAACAATATTGCACTTACATGGAGAAGAGCCATTTCCCAAAGAGCAGTATTCCCTGCATTGCAGTATTCTGGTTCTTCTAAAAATGGATCATACAAACCTTGGCCTCCACTTTTATCAACATCTAACAGAATATCTGATGATTTGTTCAGCTAAGACAGAAATAAGTGAGTTTAAAATAAGTGCCCACTAAAATTTGAATTACTTGTGATGATTTAACTTACTTGTAGTACACTCTTGATATGTCCGAGACAAGACAAAGATCCATTATGTAGAAGTTGAAGAGCCAAGGTGGCCAAGCGCTTGGTGAATGCCAAGATTCTTTGTTGTGAAACCTTTTTCCTTCTCTTTATTAACATGACATCTATAGCTCTCACTAAAATCAATCCATCTTGATGAGACTTACCTGTGAAACACAAAATACTTGAATAAAATAATCTGTGCAAACAAAAGAAATTTGAGGTATCTGAGAATTACCTGCATGGACATTGAGCAAATTACGGTAGAGGTGAGTGTAAAAACGGCATGGGTCAATTGTTAGCATTTCTCCTTGTCCAGACAGAATAGTGAACACTGTCTGAACAATATGAAGCTGTTCTCTATTTCCAAGTTCCCCTGTTTCCATTAGGTCGTCCAAAACATTAACCAAGTCATGATAATACTCCAAATTTATGCAATGTGAAAACCTGGAAGATAGGGGGGCAGGAACAAGTTATAACATCGAGAAGTACACTTTGAAAAGCAAGAAGAGTCAAAGGGGAGCATACTTTGCAAGTCCTTCAAGGGTCACTGATAAAAGCTTGGTGTTGGGTTCTTGCTTCAAAATACGGAAATAGATCATGAAAACAACTTTCACTACTTCAGTTAAGTGCTGCTGTTTTTTTTGCTTGTTTTCTTCAGCCTTCGTTTCCTGCAGTTCTCCTTCTAATTCTTTTAGTTTTTTATCCCTCTAGAAAGGACCAAAAACTCACATTAAGTGGAGTTTAAAAATTCAAAGGGTTCACATATACCAGATTTAAAAATAAACATACCTTTCTTTCTTTTTTTGACATGCTAAGAAGTTTCATTTTGCGTCCTTTAAATTTTTTTTGCTGCAGTTCATCTTCTTTCTCTTTGTCAAGATTAACATCCTTGATTCTAAGATAAAGAAGGACCTCCAGGACATCAGCATGAACATTATGCTCACGCTTTTTAACTAATCCATTAATGCGCCTGACAATCTAATCAATAAGAAACACAGAAGTGGAGTGTAGTTTCAAGGATATAAAGATTATCCATATACTATATATACTACTCCCTCCGTCCGTGTAATAACTTACAGACAGAAGGATTGAGTTATGTAAAATACAGTGTGTCCTATAGGCATCAAACTTTTCAGATCTGAATTTATTAAACATGGGCGGATTGACTACTAGCTCCAAGGCCTTAAGGCACCATTGTGAGTAGCAGTAGCCAAGCCTGCCCACCTTTATGTAGTAAACAGTATAACCAAAAAAGTACAGCACTTTGTATGGAATACCCTTCACTTTAACTACCGGTAGGTGAAACAATAATTTCAAGGAATCTTACCTCTAATGAAATTTCCCCACGCTTATCGTCCTTAAAAAGTTTCTTGATTGCAACTTTTGATATATCACGAACTGTAGGAGAATGGTTGTCCAGAAATGTGACAAGATACTGAGATAAATTCACAGAATAATTAAAGTATGGATGGGTAACTAAGAGATCTGCCATGCATTGTACGGCAACTTCTCCCAATTGTACTTCTTGCTGCAAAACAAAACCCAATGGAAATGACAAACTGCTTAACAAAAATTGAATTTGTAAAAAAAAATTTCAGGGTGAGTTACATACCTGTGAAAACTTTCTGGTGTCACCCTTTCTGCGCATAAGACAAGATGCCAATTTTTCCAATTTAGTGAGATACAATTTGTAGTTCTTTAACAGATCTTGCTCAAACCTCCTCAGTTGTAAGGTAGCCTTTTTTACTGTGAAAAAGAGGAAAGTAATAGTAAGTTTGCGAGGGCTTCGGGGTGAGGCGTGTTCCATTTTTATCAAGGCACAAGAGGGGGGCCAGCAGCACTCCATTGAAGAGCGATGAGCCATAACAATAAGTCTCCCCTGAGAGCGAAAATGATCGCTGGATTGGGTTAAGGTGCCTCTGCTTGCTGTCTATCAATATATCAATTAACCCATCTATCAATAAAAAGCCCTCATCTTAGCATCTTTAAGAATAAGTATGGTACTCACAAATTACATTTTCCACATCCAGTACTTTTATGTAGTAGGATGGCAAAAGATCCTTGAACACCTCAAGCAGAGAGACAGTTGCCAACTTCCTAACAGTTATCTTAACTTCTGGGTTGGGCTCCTCCATAAAATCCAAAAGTGGTTTAAAACTCTTCATCTGGTAGAATATAATTGATTTGGAATTAATTTGACATGCAGTACAATGATGGCCAATGTTACATGGTGAGTAGACACTCAAATATTATTAATTTATAATGTACACTTACTCTGCCCTCAGGATTTTCTAGAAGACCACTACACAAAATACCAATACGGAACTTCCGCTGCTGGAGGACTTCTTGTCTGCATGCAAGAAGTTGGGCTGTGGTAATGGGCTTTTCGGTGTTCAAATGATGGGGTGCACTGTGTATTGACTCTGTTTCATCTTCACTTTCTTTCTCACTTTCGGCATCTTTCTCCATAACTGTCATCTCTTCGAGTTTTTTCTTTTTCTGAGCCTCCGCTTCATAGTCCACTGAAAATTACCAATAGATGTGAAACAAAAGGATTCAAGAATAATAATTTTCCATGAAAATTATTATTAGCAAAATAAGAAAATCTGTACCATCCTCCTCTATAACTCTGGTTACTAATCCCTTAGAAGTTTTGATCGGTAGCATTACTCTAGTGCGTTTAGGCCCAGAGTCTTGGATACCAGATTCATTTTCATATAACTGTTCAATGTCATCAGTGTCTTCACTATTACCACCCTTGCGCCTTTTACGTGGTCCCCTCTCTTGATCACCCCTGTAAAAATGTACTCATTATATTGTTAGTTATCTGAACAATTGTGACGTATTGAACTCTCCAAAATACTTACCCAGGAGCACGAATCTTCCTGAGTAACTGATAACTGCGCTGGGAAATAGCTTGTTTGAGGTATAATAGGTCATCTCCTTCCACCATGTCCAACATGTCTTCTCCATGATCGCTCTGATCTTCATCTGCTTCCCCATGTTTCACTGGTTTAGGTTGAGATTTAGGTTCTGCTTTCTTGTTGCGACGTGTCTTCAATTTTCCTTGTTTGGATAATTTGGTGCGTTTTTGATTGTTGCGTTTCACCTTGCTGATTTTAACAGCTTTCTTCTTCACCTGTAAATTTAAAAAGGCCACTCGGTTAAAAACTGTCCTAAACGTAATTGTAAATTAAATTAGGAAAGTGAAATGATACGTTAAAAGATGACAAGATAATAGTGTACAGAAACAAGCTTAACCGGAATAAAGCAGAAACCAACACCTATTGATAGGTTAGAGTTTTCTTGTATTTAAATTTATATGACACCTCGATATGAAAAGTATGTTGAAGCGTTTCTAACACTAAACTAGATAGTAATCTAAAATTTAAAATAGCCAAGGGTGTATTAAAACTGCTTAAAGTACAGAAAACTTACCATGTTTGCTTGTTGATGTTACCACGCACGTTGACTACTAAAGCCCACCGCCTTGTTAATGTCTGATCCACAGTGATGTCAGGTTGAATTTCTGCTAGAACAATTTCTCATAAAAAGTTGTTGTGTTGTTGTTGTTACTGTTGTTTTTGTTGTATTATCATCTGTGTCAAAATATTTTGCACGTTCGTTGAAAATTTGATTTATTTCGTGTAGAAGGTCTTCCTGACCCTCTTTCCTTTCAACTTCTGTGTTTCGAACCAGAACTTTGTCAAAATGGGGAAACGCCAACATCAAAAGGATAAGATGTATGTGATCCTGAACAATGACATGATATTATAGGTTAGCAGTGTGTTGAGTGATTGTTGTCCTTTCACATTTCTATTTGTACAGGTACTTGACGTACACCGAATGGAGCACTTTATATGGAGGCAAGAAAGCAGATGTTCCCAATTCTGATGAGGCAAATTTTCGTCGGCTTCCATTTGACCACTGCTGTGTCAGCCTTGTCCCCTGGGAAAATCCGTATTGTGATCTCAATGGCAACGTTTTTGAACTACAGGCAATCATGACCTACTATAAAAAATACAAGAAAAACCCCATATCTGGGGAGGTCAGTTTTTTTAATCATCCTTCACTACTTCCCTGAGAGGTGTTTGTGCTTAATGTAGTTTTATTTTATGTTGCAGGCATTGGATTTAAAAACATTGACAAAACTTAATTTTGCCAAAAATGCAGAAGGAGAGTATCATTGCCCTGTTATGTTCAAATCATTCTCCAATAGTTCACATATTGTTGCCATCAGAACAACTGGGAATGTTTTCTCATACGAGGTAAGTCTAGTGTACAAGCAATCTTCAAACACAATTATTTGTTTAGACTTAAGTATTAAATAGGATTTAATTTTTCAGGCTGTTGAACAGTTAAACTTTAAGACTAAAAACTTTAAAGACCTTTTAACAGACCAAGAATTTATCAGGAAAGACGTAATAACTATTCAAGATCCTCAACAAGTTGACAAGTTCAACCTTTCAACCTTCTTTCACATTAAAAATAGTCATCGCTTAATTGATGATGGTAAGTGCTTTGCTTGTGTGATACCCATAAAAATATTTTAATCTTATCACAGTTCATTATAAAACGTGTTAATTTTATGCAGATGATTCAGATCCAACTGCCCGTTTAAAGTTCGTGAACAAGGAAACCCAACAAGTTTTAGATACACTTGCTAAAGAATATAAGGCCCCAGAGAAAAAAAATGTTGTGAAAGAAAAGGCAGATAAATTTAATGCTGTAAGTTGTTATTCAAATACTTTTTAATTTTTCCACATACTCTAAATCATAAGATTGTAAAGCTCACTTATTAATTTCTTTTTAAAATATTGTTTTAGGCTCATTATACAACTGGTGCTGTAGCTGCTGGCTTTACCTCTACTGTTATGGCTCCTGAAACTAAAGCAGAGGCTGCAATTGTTGAGGAAGATCTAGTACGCTATGAGCGAGTGAAAAAGAAGGGTTTGTGTTTGTTGTCTTGAGATTGCTTTTTTAGTTTCTCATGTACCACTATCAGGTGTTTTCTAATCTATTTTTTTCTTAATGTAACAGCTTATGTTCGTCTTTACACAAATTTTGGTCCTCTAAACTTGGAACTTCATTCAGATATTGTACCTAAGACTTGTGAAAACTTTTTGAAGCATTGTGATTCTGGATACTACAATGGTACAAAATTTCATCGGTCTATACGTAACTTTATGGTTAGTAATATTTTGGATCTGCTTTGTTTATTTTTTTCTATGTTATATGTTGTAAGACTGTATTTATCTATCTAGATACAAGGTGGTGATCCAACAGCAACGGGTACTGGTGGTCAGTCGATATGGGGTAAACCTTTCGAAGATGAAATTAAACCACACTTAACTCACACTGGACGGGGCATTCTGTCTATGGCAAATTCTGGAACTGATACTAACAAATCTCAGTTGTAAGTAGATGAAACATATTTTAAGGTTGTTCTTAGTTATCTTTGTAGCAGTTTTATCAGTTTGGTACTGTGTTTTCAGCTTCATTACTTATCGCTCATGTCGACATTTAGACAGTAAACATACTGTATTCGGAAAGGTTGTCGGAGGTCTTGACACACTCACTGCAATTGAGCAGGTTGAAGTTGACAATAAAGATAGGCCAATAGAAGATATAGTGATTGAAAGAGCAAGTGTTTTTGTTGATCCTTACACAGAGGCTGATGAGCAGGTGAGTGTTTGAAAGCCGCTAAAGAGTGGATTCTGAAACCATTACTGTACCCTGAAAGTAAATAAAACCTTCATTGTACTTTTAATTTTCAGTTGGCTGCTGAGAGGGAAAAAGAAAGGCAGAAACTTGCAGAAGAGCAAGCAACATCAAGGCAGCATGTACCTAAAAAGGACGCAGAGTTGAAAGTATATCGTTCTGGTGTTGGAAAATACATTCCAAAGCTTGAAACCCTCAAGTAAGCATTCTGATAATAAAATATGGAGGAAGTTAGTGTTTTCTGTGAGCATTTTAATATTTTTATTGCTCTTGTTTTTGTTTTAGACCTGATAAGTCAGACAAGACTGAGCCAGTCCCCAAAAAGAAAAAAGTTGCAGGTTACCAATTCGGAACATTTAGTAATTGGTGAACTGCCACTTTTCGCAGAAGATGTATGTACATGGTGTAAATATATTTTTGATTTCAATAAATTTAATTTTTAATCCTCCAAACTACTAATTTAAGTTGACCTGAAACCTAAAGTGGTAATTGAGTATGTTACATCATTTATTTAAACTTTCCGCGGGTGTATGTTGTGAGACGCGTAGCACTTACATTGACATTGAGATTCGGTTATCATCGGGTAGTCGGTACTTCAGCTGATAGTGCTTATCTTACTCCGAAATTGACACCGCTTTCATGAACGGAGGCTTTTGTAAAATTGTGTGCCGCGAATGAACAGCATTGAAGAAAACTTCTACCAGCGATCAACTATTAAGGGGTAGAAATGGACGACCTAGGTAAGGAAAGGACGGCTGGAGATTAGCTCGACTTGCTGTCACGACCCATCTCGGGGAAATATTTTGACGTCTGTTGTTTCCGCTGCAGCAGTCTATTTCTCCTGTCTACCCATCACAGAAGTCGTGTGAATTTTTGGATCTTTTCTTACCATTGTATTTTAATGGGCGAATAGTTTTGAGTGACTTCAGTTGTGACGGCGTTGTTTGTAAACAATGTCCTAACCTCCAGAACTTTAGGTTACCTTTGTGTTGACTTTTAGTTTTTGCTCTTCTTCCTTTGAAATCAGTTGAACTTTTACGGTTTTGTTTCCTTTGTTAGGGCTTCACGCAGAATTTTTATTTTAGTGTGCATTTGTATGACAAAATCTGGAGGTGGATGCAGTTTTCCCTCATAGCTCTATCTCCCTCTAGAACTTCACTGTTATCTAGCTGACAGCTTCTATAAAATGTGTGGTAGTGAAATGCTAATCCGTACTCTCTGAATGAACTAAACAGGAGAGCATATTATTACATCCATGTGACATTATTTGCATTCAATGTCTTTGGCGCGTACCTTCGCTTGATGTTCTGGTAGTCATTGTGCAAAGGAAGTTGTAAGCATTGCACAAGTTTACATAAATTTGGGAGTGTGGCTCTCGCATTGAAAAGTATGTCACACTCTGAAACAGACCATATTGGCCCTCAAACCTCCAAACCCTTACTTAGCCTTCTGTTTAAATGTCATCAGTTCGCAACAATAAAAGATAGGATTCTAAGATTATAATTTTCTTTCTGATTTTTCTGTTAGTCAATGTAACTTTAGATTATTGAACTATTAATTTTAGATTATCAAGTGTGACATGTGTCATATGATATCCTGCACTCTTGGGAGATAACGTTAGTCGATGCGGGCATCACAGAGAGAGTGCATCAAGAAATGTTGCATTTATTTTCCCTCTAAATTATTGATCATATTGAAATTAACGTCATGGTGTCTGATAATTCAGTCGGGGGAAGAGAAAGCGCACTCATCGCACATATGCTGACAAAAGGCTCAACTTCAAGTAAACCCCTGTGGCTATTTACTGGGAGCCTCTTCCTCCGTTCCGTTTCCGATCACCGGAACTGTGCGTCATCTGGTTGAGAGAATACTGGGGAGGAGGGCCCCTCGGTAGGGTAGGAAGCGCACCGGCAGGCTACGCCGCGGTCCCCGGGGGAGCTGGGGGTCCTCGCCGCGGGGCCTAGACCCGGGGCCCCCCGGTGGAAGGGGTAAGGACGGAGGCTGGGCCAGCCCGCTGTCGCTCCGCTCTTGGCTAGTGCTCTCTCGTACCCTGACGCGTCGCGTTGCACGAGCCGCTCTCCGCGCGCCCTGGGCTCGCCTCGCCGGTAACCGCACGTGTGTGGCGCGTGTCTTGACACCTGTAGGTGCCGGGTCTGTCGACACCTGTATGTGCCGGGTGTCTCGACACCTGTACCAGGTGATTCAGAGAAGACGCAGGTGTGGGCGGGTTTGCCTACCTAAGGGACCATAGCGCCTTACGGGCAGATCGGGTAGGCAAATCCACTCGCACCTACGTCTTCTCTGATTCACCCGGTACGTACCTGCTGTGTCGACATCTGTACGTGCCGGGTGTCTCTACACCTGTACGCACTTGGTGTCTCGATACCTACACGTGCCGGGTGTCTTGACACCTGTATGCTCGTGGTGTGTCGACAGCTGTACGTGCCGGTTGTCTCGACACCTGCCCCGTGCCCCGTGTCGCGCCCCATGGCTGCTCCGGTGTCCGCGCCTCTCTGGTCCCTCTGAACGTTTTGGCACGTGCTCTGTCGCAGACTGCACGCACCCGTGGTGACACGAGTCAGACGGGCCGTCGTACATTTTCCAGTCGGTCGGTGTGATGAGGGGGCTCTGAGGCCAGTGCAGCGCGGAGTATAACAGCGCGAGCTGCGCGAGTTAGGCTGTCCAGCGCTGTCCTGCAGCCATGGACCGGACGATGTACGGCAAGGTGGCGCCGGGCGACCTCCAGCGGCCCTACCGGATAGCTATGGAGAACGGGTGTGAAAAACCTGGCTGTAAGTTGGACCAACCCATAATGTGGACTGCCAAAGTTGTAAGATACTCGGAAAGCGCGACCCTAGGTAAGGACGGGCCTGTTGTTGTGTCGTTGTTGCTTGTTGCAAGCGCTGCTGAAGCTCATAGGATAAGGAGGTGTGTGTTGTGCGGTCACACCCACCCACACACACACACTCACTCTCACGCTAAACGTGTATAACAACAGTTTTTCACATTTTGTTTTTGCACCCCTTTTTATTTATTTGCAGTGCACGCTGTGCACCTGACAAAGAGCCGCATTTTTTGACCTAGAGGGCTGAACCTTCCGTCTTAAATTAACTCGCAGGAAAAATCAACTTAGTTGGACGCTCTGTGCCCTGCCCAGCGGGGAGAGGAAGTCAATGATGTCACACTGCAACTGCACCTCCGTCTCATTTCATTTATAACGGGTTGTAGGCTGTTTCCCCTCTTTTTGACCGCAGTGTAGGGTGTGATGGGGTGTGGCCTGGCGTTCCCGCTGGGTTAAACCGCCCGTGACCAAGTCACATTGGAGTTAGGCCCTCCGATGGTGCCGGCGGTAGTTCGCGCCGCCGGGCCCGCCACGCCTCGCCACGCCACGCGGCTCTCCTCAAAGCCATTCTAAATGAAAAGGACTCGGTTTTCTGGTCGCATATGCGTTTTTGCGTACATCACAAACAGATGCAGGTTACGAGTTTGTCAATTTTGTTTTCGTCCTGCAGAGGTATGCAAATTCGTCAAACTTTGCCTCCAAATTGCATGTGTATGGTCAAAATTGTGACAGACCGGCCCAAGCGCGCATGGTGACGGTGCGGCGGACAAGCAGCGGAGAGGCAGTCGGCGACCAAACAACTTGAATGCCAAACAAGGTGGATAAGAGAGAGGAGCCAAAAAAGGCACGCGTTTGGATGGGACAGACGCCTGCGTCCTCCGCCTTCGCTCGCGTCCGCTAGTGCTCGCGTGCGTGTGTCCTCAAATACACTAACACGAAAGTAAAGTGGGAAGGGATTCAATTAAAAGTGTTTACCCCGCGCGTGAACTTTCAAAATTAACGCCAAGTCCTGGCATCATCCGCCGCACCGCCCCTCCACCAGTTTTTCTACTCTGGCATGATTACAATGCAGTGCAACTACATGAGGCACTTTCGTGTTTACCGCATCCCCACCTTTGTTGCCTGTGCCGTATAAAAGTCTGCGCGGTAGTCTAGTAAAGCCTTTATAGCTAATATGTGGTTCGACGGGGTGGTTTTTGTGTGTCTTTTGCCAGACCATTTCTTTTTTGCTGGACGAAAGAAACTAAAAACGACCAGAGGCTCCACGAACCTGATTCGACCAACTTGAAAATATCCGTGCGTTTCGTGCGGAACCGATCGGCGGAGCCGGCTCCCCGCAGGCGGTGGCTGCGCGGGCTTCGGCCGTCGGCGGCGGTTTAGTTGTGACGTGTGCGTCTAGTTTAGCGCCGCGAACATCGCCTCCCGACCATTTGCTTTCTGCTAGTTTCACAAATTCACCGCGCGGCTTGGGGTGGGCGGACCTTCGAGGAGAGGCAAGGGAAGGGCCTCTCGGAGGGGGACGGGGGAGCCCCGCGCCGACCGTCAGCTCCTGCTGAAAAACACGACACGTTTCGTAATGATGGGAAAATAAAATGTCGCGAGAAATATGAGTGATAAAGGCTCCCCGTATTTTCTCCGATTCTCAATCGCGATGAATTCAATTGACATTTATTGAATTGAAAATATTGGGCGGTTGATTTTTGATTTCACTAGAAAAGAGCCCGTCGGCCATGCGACGCGGGGCCACCTGTTTGCGGTCCCACGATCGCCTCCCCCAACCCCACCCCTTCCTGCCACAGGGACCGGGATATTGAATCGGCGCCAGGGCGGTCTATTTCCACGTAGCGTCGCCAACCTTGGTACACATTATGAAATGTCCCTGCGCCCGCCCTGTGCGTCCAACCCGCGGGCATAGCAACTGCCAGGTAAACTGCCATAACGGCCCGCCGCCCGCGCTGCGGTAGTACAAACTGCCGGTAACTGCCAGCGCGCACCCTCGTTCGTCATAAACTTCACCTCGTCTACCGTCGGCATGGCTTTCCGAAAGCCCCATGCCCCATGTCGCGTGGTACGTCTCAAATGGGTTCGTCGTGTGTCGTGTAGGCTTGGGCCGACTTGTCTGAATGGCTTGGCGAGGCCGTGCTGGTGCCGTGGTGGCGTGGCGGGCCTGACCCTCCGGACCTCCCTACCCTAAGCGTGTGCGTGACTCGGGCCGGGCTCAATGCCACCCAGAAGGCCAAGGAGACGCGTCTCGCGCGCGCGGCCGAGAGCAGACTGGGCCGCCCGCGGGGGAAACTGAATCTACTGGCATAGGGCGCCAGGCTTGACGCTCGAGGATAAACAAAAGCCGAGGGAGGGCGGCGAAGGAAGACGTCGTCGACGGCGGTGCTAATTTCTGGCGCGGCCCCTATACCCCCCACCTTGGCCATGTCTTTCTTTTCCCATCCCCTCTCTCCCCCTATTTCTTCTGTGCCCCTACACTACACCTCCCCCAACCCCCCGTGCGAGTAACCAACAACCCCTTGGTAGGGAGTTCGGGAAATGTGCTCTGCGTGAACTGCCAAATTCCGGCATTCAGAAGTTGCTAGGCTTTCTCGTCCCCCTGCTTGGCTGCTCGCTCTGCGAGGATCGCCCTTGCAGTTTCTCGTACACCAGTTCGCCAACGCGCATCCGGCCGGCCTGCTGCCGTGTGGGTACCGCGTGGGCTTTTTGCACGCCGGCCCAGCCCGGCCCGAGATACTGCACCGATCCCTTGCAATAAGCCAGCAAGTCTAGCCAAGCCAAGCTATCTTTCATGAAAAAAAAACAACAATACAAAAACAACAACAGATTTTAAGTTTTGATATTTGTTTTAGAAGCACTGTTGAAGATGGAAGGTCAGCACTATATCTTAGGTGCGCTCTGTTTGTTTCCAGTGTACTTATTGTTTCATGTTCACAGTGATGCTACATGCGCACGTGTGCTAACTGAATGCCACTGATTTCTTGCCTGGAAATCTCAGCGTCTGTTAAATATTTTAGAATATTTTAAAACTTGCAAATAAGTGTAGTTCTTTTGTGTCATGAACATGTTTTCTTAAATGTCAAATTCTTGTTTATTTGTCAGCCTCACATGTGAGATCACAGCCAGCAACAAAGACATGGCACAGTGACCTAACCTTCGTGTCGCCGCTTGAGAGCTAAATCGCTGTGGATACTGCCAGCCTTACTGCACGTGTTGGTGTGTCTGTTTGTGCGTACGCATGAGTGCTCAGCGCCTCCCTGGTCCGATACCACAAGGGGAAGCACTGTTCCCTCGACGACAACCTGCTAACGACTGGCCGCAGACTCACTCGAATAAGCGGATAAAAGAGGGAGAAAAAAAGGCGAGAAAAAAGAAGGTGAGGAGTGAGAGTGAGGTGACGTGGTGAAAGGGAGGGAGGAAGTATCAGAAAATGGACAGAGGGTAAGAAAATAAATAGATCATGAGATAATCCTGCGACCGTGACCGTGAATTGGCGCTTGGCTTTTGCTCCCTGTACCACACTGTGCTTCCTCGTTGACTTTTGCTATTTGTTTCCGAAACAATATTTTCCAAATTTTATACAGAAATTATGGAGGACGAAGCCCTGTTTTAGGCGTGCTGCTGGTGTGCATTCTTCTTCAGGATTTTCCGAAACTTGCCCGTTCCATCCTCGTCAGGGATGACATTAACTCACTCGCACCTTTTCATTCAGGCTTCCCTTTCTCATAAATGCCGAAACCAAGCAAGGGTGTAATACACGATGTACACTACATCTTCTAATTTCTGGGGCGTGTGAGCCTTTACAACAAATTTTTTGTTGTCACTACAAAAACTATTAGTTGCCATGACAAAATTTATCAGTTGTCTCTCTATGACCGGTTTTTGATTACAGAAACTAAAGAGCTTTTCTCCGTAGCGTTTTCAGTCACAT